ATGATATATCTTAGGTATAAAGAGAGAGTCAAAATGGGATTTTTCATGGTTCGTTGGATCATCTCATCTCAGTACAGCATATTCAAAATATAGTTTTTCAGGGGAATTGCCATAATAGATGAAACAAAACCCAACCCCCAAACAAACAACAAACAACACAAAGACAGAACTCTCTTCTCATTTTTCCTATTCTATTCAATTTAATTACCCCCAAACTCATCCCTTAATAAAGAACATTTGTAACTGTATATCACAATTTAGGATTCTTGATCCTCTGATCATCAGCTTCATGGTGAACTAGGTTATCAGTTATATAAAACTAAATCTCTGTTCTTTTCTGTTGAAAAAGACAAGTACAATTTGGTTTGAGAAATGAGGTTATATATAGTTGCACATATTTATCTTTTGCTTTTTTTACTATTTACTGCCTATAATTCCTTGTTGCCCTGACTGCCCTCACAATGTTTGGAGTGTTGGAGATAATGGGACCACATAAGGAATGAAATCCACCTGAATGCCAAAGTCTTACTGGACTCAATCCTTAGCTCTATGCCCTGTGTGTAACACTTGGAAGCCACTCCTCTGCTCCCATGGAAACCCCAAAATGTCTCACATTAATAAAATATAATGGTGTCTATTTAATACTGTTTGCTTCTTCTCTGGAAGAGGATTATTCAGATTAATTGTGTAGAAAATTAGTCTGATGATTTGATTTCTTTTTTTTTTGCATCTCAGCCAAGAATAAAGTGAATGGTTTTCTGTGGTTTCCTCTGAGGTGACTGGCACATACAGTATTTCAGAGGGTGCATTTGTCTGTGCCTACCCCAGTCTGCAGATTTCTTACTCTGCATAGCTCTGCCTGCCTCACACAGAGCCAGGACAGAGCATTGGCTATCCTAACCTTTGGTTTTGCTACACTATTTTGTACAGTTATTACTCTTATTTAGAAACACATTTAAGCAGCACCTAAGCAAGTTTCTCCTTTTGATAATAATGCTACAAAGTTACATACTCCCTAGTCCTCTGCCTTCTTTATCTACTGCTTCTCACTTCCACATAACCTTCAACCAAGATCTTTCCAAAATACTGGGAAGACTGATGCCTTTTAGCTTGCAGATTTAGTCAACTATTGTGGTATTTACCCTATCACCTATTCCCAAAAAGGGGAATGATATTTAGGCTTTTTCCTTTCCCCTCCCTGAAAATTCTGCATCTGTTCATATTTCCCACAGGACACGTTTGTTTTGGGGCAGCCAAGGCCCTACAAGTCACATGTTGAATGCTTAACCTGCAGATATCATTTTCGTTTTTTTGAACATAGCCTTGTAGCCATCTCAGCAGAAATACTTAGATTTGTAAGGAGCTTCATGTAGTTATAGTTCCAGGAGACAAAGGGTTCTTGTTCTAAATACATAAAATATGTTTTAAAATTGAAAAATGGAAAGCATTTTGGTACTTTCAAATAACCTTTGAGATCAGATGTTTTATTTGCTCTCTGAGTCACCAGTTCATCTCTCTCCCAATATTCACTGCGTGGTTTTTTTATTTTATAAGATCCACATTCCTCCCTCCAAAAGCACTTTGAAATTAATGTGCTTTAATGACAGCCCTGTCTGCTGCTGCCCCTGTGATCCCTGATGCCTGTCCCCATTCTTGCTGCCATCATTACCAGGGTCAGGAGAGACTATGGCAGGGGCAACCACAGCAGTAACAGTGGAAGAGGCTGGGGCAGTCACTGCCAGTCTCCGATTACCTGATTGTCCCACATCTTCCAGAATGGGCTTTGTGCCCTGGAGAGCCAGTGACAATTTTACCATATTTTGCTACAAAGGTGTAAAAGCTGTTGGGACACCAGCAGACTGCATTGCCAATGCTTTGCTTGAAAAGGAATATTGAGCTTGTACACAGTACTTCTTAGCCATGTGTCCTGAAAGAATTTATGGAGAAAGATAATCATAATTACCCTGAACTAAGGATGGATAACTTGGGCACCTTTTGCTTGCAGAGCACTGAGAAAGGGCTCTATCCCAAAGCCTCCTCTTCCACCCACCCCCGGGAAAAAAAAGAAAAAAGTTGGAATTAGGAAAAAATATTGGGATTGTGCAAAAGATTACATTATTGGAATAAAGTTCACCCACATCCAAGAACATCTTGATCCACCTAGAACTAGAGAGGCTTGCCAGTCTTCTCACCATAGAGCTGAAGAGGGAGCTTTGCACTCCTGATGATGCCTCACAGCCTCGCTTTTCAGAAATTAAGTAACCCAATGGACTGTATCAAGAATTCAACTGAAAACATCCTTATGGAGAACTTAGACTAATTTGCATGTAAACTGTTACTCTAATCAAGTTTATACGAAGGCATGGCAAATTACTGAGCAGCTGTACCAAAACAGTGATACAGTGCTAATTAACACTGAACTGGATCAGGGAATTCTGCAGGACCAGTCCTGGGAGAGGCAGACCAGTGCTGGCTGGCTCTAACGAAGCTCAGCAGGAACTAGTTGTGATTGCAGTTTTGCTTGCTTTTTGCATAGCTGCACAAACCATTCTGCATGACTGACCAGCTGGACCTGCTCTCGTGTGAGGGACTGTCACCAGAACCAGTCAGGACTGCTCCCCATAGAGCAGCTGTGATCTACTCCTGGACCTTGAAACATGTCCATTTACTTATCCTATAATTCCTTTACCCAAGTAGCAAGTGATACATTTTCCAGTAAATCCCATTCCTAAAGAAAAACATAGAAAACTAGCTTGTAAGAGTAACTACAGCTAGTGTCTTTCTGCCTCCCCAGCTTCCATGTACACAAGGGACTGAAACTTGTGCAGACACTTTTCTAGAAGAGAACACTTTATTTAATTAGTCCTTTTTGTCGGTGGGGAACTCTGCCTCAGAGAATTCTGTAAGAGTTTTTTTTTCTTTATGCAACAAGTAACTTATTTTAGCAGTAGCTCTATTGTAAGGCCTGTGTTCACTTTCCTCAGCTGATCACCAGTATCTGCCCTAGGACAACATCCAGCTCTGCAGGGCCTTTCCTTCTGCCCTGCTTTCCATGTGCCTGAGCTGGAAAGGAGCATGCATGCACTTTAGCAAGGTCCTTCAATCTGGACAATTTGGAATTGACTGTAAGATTTTGTGCAGACAAAACCTTTGTTTTTGAAGTACTGAGTGCACATGAATTTGTGTCTTCTTGTAGGTTTTGGTCTTGATAATACAGGGGGAAAACCCAACCTTTTTTGGCTTTTGGTTTGGTTTTCGGTTTTTTTCCTGAGCCAACAATATGTTTGTCTGCAAACTTAAACAGAAATAAATGAAAATAAGCTTTTTGGCAACTTAGTTTCTTATATGAATGAAAAAAATCCTTTCTGTCTTCTGTATCATCTCCACCTTTGCTATCTAATTGAATTTGAAATGCATTAATTCTAGTAACACCAGTACAGAGTACAGGTTCTTCAATCACGTTCAAGATATTCAATCATGTTTTATGTTAGAAGATAAGTATTTAAAACAAAAAAAATCAAACTAACTCCTCTTGAACATTATTAAGTGCTCACTCACATATTTTAACAATTGTAGCAGCATGTAGTGGAAAGTTGATTGCATGTTCCTCCTTTGCTTGTGTCCTTCATTCACTACATATAATAGAAAAACATTTTAGTTTTGTTCACTCCTTAAAGCTTTTCATGGACACAACTTATTAAATGAAGACATTCTGAATTTTGTAAAATATATTTAGTAATACCAAATACACTTCTTGCCTTCCAAAATCTAGACAAGCAAAAAACCCAAAATGCTTCTGATCAAATAAATATGCAGGTTTATTACAGCAAGTTTCCATGTTTTAAATTTGCAGTGGTTTCACAATGTTTTGTTTCCTTCTGTTTCCATTAGGATACCCTCATGATAATCCAAAGTAGCTGTTAAAAAAATATATCCACAGATGAACAATTAAAAAATATTGGCTGCATGTTCCAACATTACAATTAGGTGAAAAAGTCAGTATTTACAAAAAAACTCTGGAAATCAAATATTGACAAATTTTGTTGTCAGTTTAATTACATAAGCTATAGGACACTCACAGGGGAAATTTATGCTCACAAGCTCCAAGTGTAAGCCTAGATTTTGTAATGTATTTGAAAAAACCTAAATTTATACTTTGGGTCTGTTTGGTTTAATACACATACTGGTCATTACCCAGTTCATTTTTATTTTCAACAATATTCTGCACACATTTTTTCATTATATTTTCTGTTTGAATGTAAAGTGTAATAGAAAAACCATTCAATTATGCAAACAGAACTAAATTCTGTTAGTGCAGCTAATTGGTTTTTAATACATATTTCATGTACAAAGAAAGCAGTAGCACAAACAGAACACTAGGCAAAGGATAGTGTACTTAATTTGAAATACTTGCAGCTTCAGTAACTGTGAATTACCTACTTGCAAAATATACAAATACACATAATGTGCACAAACACACACACAACATCACTGCATGCTGGTTTTTTTGATTAAAATATAGCTTCAGGTTCACAAACCTTCGTCCAGAGCTGGTGAGAGCTGTAGTCACATTTGTATATTAAAGGTGGTCAAAAAGTCTGTTAAATGTAAGCCATTCCACCACACTGTCCTCTGGCTTCTCATGCTCTGAACAACAGCAAACACAAGGAAAGAGAATGGAGCTGAGATTTTCTTTAGTGACAAAAAAAAAAAAAAAAATATTTTAGGCATAATGTTCCCTATTCTTTACCCAAAATAATCAGTGGGGAGCTTCTGGAGTGGCTTAACATGATCTTATTCTGCACCTAATTCTATCAATTTCTGCTACCATTACTGAGGCAGGCATGGGCTCCATCCTCGGTGAAAGCCACATGCAATCTCCTCAAGCAATTAGAAAAGCAATCTTGTTTGTTAGGTTTTGTCGAGAAAGAAAGAAAGAAAGCAAGCTGCTGCTGAGCTTCCTCCCTGCATGCACGTTCTGCAGCCACGCTGGTGCCCCAGTGCTCCAGCAGCCAGCTGGGATTGTGTCAGCAGTCCTGCAGGGGGCCAGGGGAGCTCCTGGATTTCAGGATCCGGCAAGTTCAGGAAAACAGAGCAGACAGGTAGCTGTACTTCTCTAAGAGATTCTCAAGACTTAAAAACTCAGCAAAACTTACGTCAGGAGCTTCAAAACCCAACCTCAATATAGGAGACAGGCTCCAGGGAAAGATGTAAAAGGATTGTTTACCATATAAATGAACTGCAGTCAGTTTAACATGCATTGTATTGAAAACAAGCACACCTTGAATGCTTTGTAATTACCAGATGTGCTGTGATGACTTTTTATTGCAGCTTACTGACAATTTTTAAGACAATTTTCATGAGCTGGCAACAAAAAATAGTAACAGAAAAAGACAAGACGACAACATTGACAATTTTTATATGTTCCCAGAAGACTTGTAAGTTTGATTCTCAGATCTGTGTCTTGAAATGCACTGGTTCTACAGCTCTTACCAAATGGCTACACTCTTCTGAGCTTGTGAGGCTATTTGCTTGACAACCTAGCAATGTAGCATGATCCTAGATGTCCTAGTGAATTAAAAAAGAAAAGATGGCATTCCTACCAATAAAGCAAGTGGTTCTGGTATTCATTATGAGTTTTCTTGGTGTGACTGTTTGTAACAGTGCTGAGTTAGTCATAGTGTATCATACTTATTTATCAACATATATTTTTAAAGTTAGTTTAAAAAAATGAAAGTAGGTGCAACAATACACACGCACACACAAATATGCTGTATAATTTCCATCAACATCAAGGGCAGAGGAAATGTCACCCCAAAAATAAAACCCCACAATACACATAGAGACATGGACAGCACTAAAAGATTTGCCTTCACAAGGGCTGTTGAATTTCAGTGTCTGAGAACTGCTAGATCTTTACAAGATGAAGCATCACAAGCAACTGAATTCAGCAGCTCAGAGTCTGTCTAACTCCATTCCTTATCTGGACAGCCAAGACTTTTTCTCAACTCCTTTCTGGTAATGTTTAAGACTAAACTGTAATCTTGCTCAAATTATCTTCTTTCCCTGTGACTTCATCAGACAATCATGAAAAGTTTTATGCATTAACACTAGAGTGGAGTTAGCCCAACACATGACAGCTCCATTGTTTTGACTGTTTTAAACAGCAAGCAACAATGCACTTAGTATTTTAGGAACAGACAAAAATTAAAATAAATTCTACTTAAAAAAATAACTGCTTTATCGTTGCCACACCTTCCTGATCAGTTGCCCAAATCCTAAAAAACTTCGAGAAAATAATTTACATACTGCAGCATAGCTTATCAAGCAAGGGGGCACTTTTTGTCTCTTGACCATCTTAGTCATTCCTTGGTACCATGATGGTGGCCTGGATTGGCAGAAAGTCCATGCCACAACCTTCCCAAGCAGTGTGACAGGACTGCAAGGCCTGCCTGCCCTGAGGGCTGTCTCACGTTGGGATGGGGATGAAGCTGCTCGATCTGGAGTGGGGCATCTCCCTCCACGTGTTTAGGCTGTGGGTCGGGCTTCTGTTGTTGGTGAAAGAAGTCTGTCGCCTGCTATTGCTGTTTGAATCTTCTTTACTCAGCGTTTGCTTTATTTTTTGGCAGCAAGGGAAGCTCTGTAGGCAGTCTTGGAGGAGGTGCCCACTGAAGAACATGTAGATCCACGGGTTACAGCAACTGTTCAGGCTGGCCAGCAGAGCTGTAACAGTAGTTGCAGTGTTTTCAGAATCTGGGGAGGGGGGGAGAAAGATGTTTAATCACAAAAGAAACATTTGCACCATTCAGTCAATTGCTTCATTAACCATTGGATTTATTTCCCTGAATATTTGAGTTCTAAATGTTGAGCTACAGCATTTTAAACAGAAAATGAGAACATAATCATTAAAGATCTTATTTATGTAAGGCTGCCATTAAAGTCAATGAGAATTTCTCTGAACTGACTTCAAAAAGCTGTGACAGAATAAGTTATGGGGTAATCCATCCAAAATAATGATTTAGTCACATTTCCACTGATGTGTATCCATGTGTTGATAAGCTCCTGCTTTAAATACTGAAAGGTTTTTTCCAGACCCTGGGAGACAATGGTAAAATTTCCACTGCTTTCAATAACACTGAATTTTGCTGCATATATTTGCATGCTGAAAAGTATTGAATGCTCAACTAACTACTGGACTGTCCATCAAGTCTGGATTTTAGAGGTTGAATTAATTTTACTTAAGGGAAAAATAGAACCTGGCACTATGGCATGAAAAAACTATGGTGTTCTACCTTCAATATCTAGTTAATAGTTAGATCAAATACTCTAAATATGTATTTAGTCTAATCAATGACTAGTGACTTTCCTTTGTAAATACTGGATCTTCAAAAAAGTATAATTACTTTTTTCCATCTATTTAAAGAATCTCTTCAAACACACCTATCAAATAAATACCCATCTGTTCAATTAGATTTAATTCCCTTTGAAGTAAAAAAATCAGTTTACTGCAAGCCTTTGTTTCTCTGTAGAGATCTGCATTATAGGCTTGACTTCAGTCCCATATTAGAGGTAATCGACACTCTCATTACAGTAAGTGATCATCTAGGGATATTTTAAAAAATCAAGAAATTATGGATTCCAACATTTTGATTTGCTGTTCTCTCATTATGAGGAAACAGAATATATGTCACTATGCTGCCTGTCATTACCGATGTAATAGCTTTTAAATTCACCTTTTTTTTTCAGCCATATTTAACAGCGGGACACTTATCTCCAAAGTCTAAATTGCACTGATTCATGAAAATCGGTGACTTTACTAATGGAGCACTTAGACGTGACTGCCTTGCTGAGAGGAAGGGATCAGGCTGCGCTCAACCCTTTAACTTGTCAGCAGCTACAGGAGAGAAGACGTATTAAGTTCTCTATTCATGTAACTGCTCCGACATGTGCGTGTGCACACTTCTCAACAATACTCAACATTTCTAAAGTTTTCTTAACCGCAGCTTCAAACGGACGAAAATGCTGCTGGTTGAAATTGCGGCAGTAAATGCTCCGGTTTCCATCGGCTCCCTTTGCGGCTGCCGCAGCCGCCCCTCCGGCTGCTCCCGGGCGGGCCGGGCCGAGCACCGCGGCCGCCGCCGCTCCCGGGGCTGCCCGGCCCGGGACTACGAGCGGTGCCGGCGGGGCGGCCCCGGGGGCGCGGCTGCCCGGGGCTTCTCTTCTCCCCCACAGCCGCTCCTCCCCGGCGGGACAGGGACCCGTGCGGGGCCGGGAGGGCGCGCCCCGCTCCCGCTCTCCGCGCCCGTTTCCCCACGCTGCGCCCCGGGACAGCCGGCTGCGCTCCAACGCGCGCGGAGCTGCCGCTGGGGACGAGCGGCGGCGTCACCTACCGACCCAGGGGAAGCGCTGATCCCACACGGACCACATCTGGATGGTGAAGAAGGGCGCCCAGCAAACGACGTACACCGAGACGATGACGAAGGTCATCTTGACGGTGCGGATCTTGGCGCGGGAGATGGTTTTGACGTTGCTGACACAAGGGGCGAGCAGCAGCCCCCGTCGCGGGCCACCTTCATCACCTGCCCGGCGCCCGCCAGCCGCTGCTGCCGCCTCCCCCGGGCGCGTCTTGCCCCGCACGTTGCGCCAGATGCGGTAGCAGATGAAGCCGTAGCAGATGATGAGGATGAGGACAGGCGCGATGAAGATGCCGCCGGTGATCCAGGTGATGTAGGCGCGGGGCCCCCAGGGCATAATGAAGTGCGCCCAGCAGTCGTAGACCTGCGAGCCGCGCTCCACTTCGCTAAGGGAGAAGATGAAGTACTGCGGGGTGCTGAGCAGCAGGCTGAGCGCCCAGGCCGCCGCGATCATCCCGTACGAGCGCTTGGTGGGCTGCTGCAGCGTCTTCAGCGGGTGGCAGACGGCGATGTAGCGGTCGGCGGTCATGGCCACCAGCATGTACGCCGAGGCGAACATGCCGAAGACCTGCAGGTGCTTGACGACGCGGCAGAGCCCGTCGGGGCCGTGGAAGCGGTGGGTCACCTCCCAGCAGAGCTGGGGCAGCACCTGGAAGAAGGCCACCACCAGGTCGGCCAGGCTGAGGTGGCGGATGAAGAGGTGCATGCGGGACGCCTTGCGCGGCGTGCGCCGCAGCGCCAGCAGCACGCTGCCGTTGCCCACCACCGCCACGGCGAAGGTGACGGCCAGCACCGCGATCTCCAGCTTGGCCAGCTCCTCGTCCCGCCCGAAGGGGTCCCAGCCGCCCAGGCTGCCGTTCGGCGACCCCGACCACGCCTCGGGACTGGGGCTGCTGCCGCCGCCGGGCTCCGCCGCCCGCCACCGGCTGCCATTGCCGGGTGAGGGCACGGCCCGCGGGGAGCCGGCGCCGCCGGCGAGGCGCATGGAGGGGCTGCGCGCTGGGGCCCGGCCCGGCCCGGCCCCCGCACCTCCGCTCGGCCGCCTTTCCCCTCCGGCGGCCCGGAGCGCCGGGCCAGGCGCCTTTATCCCCCCGGCCGCGGGAGGCGAGGCGAGGCGAGGGGGAGCTCCCGTGGCAGTGGCTGCTCAGCCCTGACGCCAGCCCCCTCCTTCCCCGGCAGCCGCCGCCCGCCCGCCCCGCCGCGGGAGCGGGGCCGCTCCGCCCCAGAGCGCCGCGCCGAGCGGGAGCGGGCGCCGGCGGCGGGAAAGGCTGCTCGGACCGGAACGGTGCTCACGGAGAGCTCCTCACGGCCAGGTAAAGCAGCGCTTATAATTGCGAGTAAAACTGCCGTAATCATGCAGAGCAAATGGAGGTCTGTCAGCATCAGCCTGCGCCCCGATCTGCCTTCTAGCCAAGGCAAAGTGACTTGTCGGTAAGTTGTGCTGGTTTGGTCCTGAGAGAGTCTGCCTGCGCCTTTGGCATTTCACTGGGATCAACCCCAGAGATGTAAATTATTAGAAAAAACAGCAACCTAATGTCTCTGAATGTTTCAGGACTTCATCTCGGGCCATAAATGTCATCCAAGCCTTAGCATAGGTCCAAACCACACGTTTCTGCAAGTACAAGCAAAATCTCCACATCTGCTGGAGAGTTTCTGGCAGTGGGCCATTAAAATTCTTGTTTTAAGCACGGTTTAGATGAGACTGTTCTTGCTCTTGGTAGAATGAATGGACTTGGTGAAAATTTTGGTCCCGTTGTCATGAGTGTGGATTATATCCTGATTTCATTGGTACCAGAATTTGACCCTTCATTTAGAAACTTCTTCCTTCAGCCATACAAAAACACATAAGATCACAACAAAGAAATACTGTGTTAGATACCAACCCTACTGTTTTTTTTAATAAAACTCCCTATGTCTCTTCATAGGTGATTACAGTTAAATTCAGTTACAAAAAATATGAGATTTTACAGGGAGAAGAAAACAAGAATGCAAGATTAAACCTTACTTCTTTAATTAAAAAGATATTTTCAAAATTTTTGACTCCAGAAGAGTTTTAAAGCTTAAAATACAAGATTATAGGCTTCTGAACATGTTAGCATTTTGCAAGGCTTTATCGCAGGCTTTTTTTTTGTTACTTTCTGGGCTTTTTAGCCCCTGAGAGGCTATGTGCACCCACCCCAGTGTGTCACTACCCTTCCTCTGCTTGGAGATCAGTGGCAGGAGTTTAGGACACCTGCTCCTACAGGAGTTTTCCAATTAAAACTGCAGACCCTCCCAAAACCTGGAAATACACACAATAAATGTGGATATCCTAAGCTTCTAGCAAACATGTTTCTTTAAATACGCTTTTGTTCCAAAACCTGATTTTTACAAACAGTTCAGTGCATTATTCACAGCTTACTGCCTATTTATTGTGTTAGACCTGGGAAACTGGTGAGTGTGACTACAGTTTTCAGGTCAAATAGGGGAAATTGAAGCTGCATCTCACAAATCTCACAACACTGCACCACTACCAAGGCTTCTTTCACATTCCTTGCCTGTGTCTGACACGCTTTACAGGAGGTGAATGTTACGTAAATGAACAGTGTTACTCAGGAAACTCTGCTAGCAGATTTTCTGCTGTGCAAACCATGCGAGGATCATAAAGCTCTGTTCACTGCTGGGTAGGTCATCCATTAACAGAAGAGATGATACTCAGGTTTGACAGAGACATATTTTTAGTAGCCAGACAATAAGATAAAAGTGGTTGTATTTGTTCAGGATACTGAGAATTGTCAAGCCCACATCAACTCAGAAATATTCTTTTTCCAACCTATTCGTTGTTCCTCTGAATGGCCTTTATAATAATGTTTCCAGAGCAAAGGGCTGGAAAGTTGCCTAAATATCATTGCACAAGGCTATACCTAGTGATTACATGCAATGTTAAGCATGATACTGATAATAATTTTTATTCTATTTTACTCCATCAGACAGATATCTCCAAAGTCTAAATTGCCACTGATTTAGAAATATTCTAGGCTAGTCCTGATGTATTTGCTTGTTTCATTTCCCAAATTGATCAAAATTGATGTTTTAAAGAGGCTGTTATAAATTCCTTTGTTTCAACAAACCTAAATAAGTCAGTAGAGAATTTTATTTATATCTAGTAGTTAAAAAATACCCTCCAGACAAATTCATGACTCGGAAAGTTTCTATACTAGGTTAATCAGCATCGAGTCTGATCTGGGTTGCTAAATCCTAAAAGTATTGGTGTTCTTCAAATTAATCAGTACTTGTAGAATACCCTTCCAAAGAGAAAAATTGCCACTGGGAAGGCTGATGGAGGAAATTAACATTTTTGCCCTGTGATTGACCTGGAGTTGGAGCTGAAATCTTGGTAAAGAAAATTGACACTGCTGTTACAAGAAACCTTTATGTGTTCTCACTAAGCACACAGAGTTCTACAGAACTAAGAATGGTAAGGATTTCTAGCATGTTCTCTGCTGCCGTACAGGTTTCAGTAAAAGTGCTTGAAAGTTGACAGATATCTTTCTGAATGCTGAACTCACTGAAGACTGCATGGCCTCTGTAAAGTACTCAAAAACCCAACTGGAACAAGAGCCAGTGTGTTGCCAAATGCAGATTTACCTCCAGACTTAACCTCTTCCTCCAGGCAAAAGAAATGCTTTGAGTAAGTCAAAGACTCAATATTGTAATCCTGGGAAATTGATGGTGATTTGTATTCTGCAAGATAACTTTTAAACAAAAATGGGAGGGAGCTTTCAGCATAATCTTCTTCAGGAAAATGGTTGGAATTGGGTTGGAATTTTAGTCAAGCTATGGTTGTCTGCCAGGTTTTGTGAAGAGTTGCTCTAGCAGTGGGAGCTACAAAAAATCAATATAAGCAAAAAAAAAAGTTAAGCTTTTAAAATAAATTCCTCATGCAGGATAAGGGTTAAAGCACTGCTAAAAAAAAGGGGTTTGTTTATTTGTAGACGATTCAGCTGCCTTGTTAAAAAGCACATAAAATATCTACATAGATATGAACAGCTGTCTCCTGCAATTTGTCTCCAAGTTCAAAGTATCTGTAATGCTCCCTTTAACTGACACAATTTAGTAAATACGGATGAGTTTGATAGGCCTTCCCAGAGAGCCAGGAGGCTTAGATGCTCCAGATCCTGACATTTAAATTCACATTTATGGGAACCAAGCATGGGAAAAAGCCCATGTGCTGAGTGAGGGACTACTAAGAGCTGGGGTCACTAGGGAGGCAAGCAGACATGCCATTCATTGCCATCCCTGTGAAGGAAATGCCACCTGAAGGCAGACAGGAGCACACAAAGCCCACAAAGCAGACTCCTGAAAAAGTGCCTTGTTTGCCTTCTATTGGCCTAGCTTTTGGACTACCAGAGCAAAATCAAACCAAACTGCCTTCAAAATAGATGACAAGTCTGAATTTAGGATTCTGAAAAGGCTGTAGTACAAGACCAAGAGACAAGTGAGACTAAGGGTCAACTCCTACTCTGGAAAACACAAAATTAAGAAAGCATCAGTAAGAGAGAGAAACTCAAGATTAGCCCTCAATATTCAGTCTGCAAGAGGCCAGTTCAGTGTTTGGAAATGAAGATAAGTGGCCAGGAAAAAAAGAGCTTTAAGGTTATGCCCCAAGTGTTCCTTTGCTTGTTAACTGAAAGCATAATTAGATTCTGGTATTTATATACACAGGAAGTCACGTCTGGCCATCCCTGTCATACTGCATTTCTTTTCATGATGGCGTGTCATGATTTAACCACAGTCAACAACTGAGCACCAACAGCTGCTCTCTGCGTCCTCCACAGTGGGATGGGAGAGAGAATCAGAAGGAAAAACACATGGCTTGAGATAATGACAGTTTAATAGGTAAAGCAAAAGCTTCGCACACAAACAGAGCAAAACAAGGAATTCATTCACCACTTCCCATGGGAAGGCAGGTGTTCAGCCATCTTCAGGAGAGCAGAGCTCTGTCACGCACAGCAGTGACTTGGGAAGACAAATGCCATCTCTCTGAACATCCCTCCCTTCCTCCTTCATTCCCCAGCCTGATATGCTGAGCATGAAATCACACGGTGTGGGATATCCCTGTGCCAGCTGCATCCCCATCCAGCTCCTTGTGCACCCCCAATCCGCTCACTGGTGGGGTGTCCTGGGAAGCAGAAAAGGCCTCAACTCTGCCTAAGCACTGCTCAGCAGAAACAAAAAGATCCCTGTTATCAACAGTGTTTCCACACAAACCCAAAACATAGCTGCATACAACCTACTGAAGAGAAAATTAACTCTTTCCCAGACAAACCAGCACATGGTATTCAGGCAGCATTGCACAGGGACCTGTGCAGTTACATGTCACCAGAAGAAGCAGCATGTTGCCCTTTTCCTTTTGCCTCTTTCCTTGCATACTTTGTTGATCTGGTTGACAGTAATAAGGGCCTTCAGGACACAGGGTTCAACCATTTCCCTGAAGAAATGTTAACATAGCAGCTTGTCTGGATTTCAAGGCAGCAAAGGAAATGGGCATTTGAAGGCCTTTGTGTGTTTATAGCCTTGTGAGAAACAACTGCTCACTTTGAAAATTTAAAAAGGTTTATTAAACCTTGACAAAAATACAACAAAAGGACTATATAAGGAAAAATTCACAGCACTAGGAACTGCCCTCTTGGATACCACATGGCTGGTTCATCTTCAAGATGGATGCTCAGTCTTTTATACCCCTGGGGGTTGCATCAGCCAGCCCTGCTCCCTCCCAAAGTCTGTCAGTCAGCTCTTCTTTGCCATTTATGGGTGGAAACTGCTTTCTTGTAACTGGATTGGAGGTCAGCTGTTGCCATGCTGCACGCCCTAAGCACCAAGCTTTTCCATTCCCACCTGCCCCATGCAAGGGACACGTGTGCAGCTTCTTTGTACCTGTCCTAGACAGCCCAGGCTGTCTGATGGCAGCAGTACAGGGGGAAAAGGAACTATGGGGAGAACAGG